CAAAGCCCATAAAAAGCAAGGCACCAAAACTCTTGACTGTGAAAAGCATGGTGGAAGTGAAGACTTCAACCTACCCTTTGAGCAAAACAGAGGATTGAACTATCATGTGAAGAACCAGTGGAAACACTGCCAACTTCGTAGTGAGATGAGAATAGATTATATTATTTAATTTATTCCTATCATAATTTGTAAATGAGAGTTACGTGATTATAAGTTTTATAAATAGAACTTGTCTTTTTACTCTATTAATTTATGTTCTTCCACATTTTTTTATTTTTTCTTACCTTATTTTATTTTTTAAATATTATTGTTTTAAGTTAAGTGATTTTATGAATAATATAGATTTATAGAGTTTAATTATAAAATTGTAACTATAAAATTGTAGCATCTTAAGGGCAATATACGATGTATATCTCTACTACATTGGTTATTTTACACTTCCTAAAGATATAAATCACCTTAAAGCACAATAATAACTCGGCGCGGAGATGAAAAAAAATATTCAAGTAACAACATATATATTATTTTATTTTATTAAGTTATATAATAAAAAATAATTACATTTTATCTCGTAATCTTTTAATTTTACTGGAAAGATATTATCTTATTTAGAGCATGTTTGGTCTGGATTGTGGGAAGAGCTTTTTGGCTCTAAAAGCACAAGCCACACCAAACGGGGTAGCTTCCTAAAGTTGCTCCAGTTTTTTAGAAGCTCAGCTTCTCACTTTTCCTTTGCAAAGCCGGAAGCTCCCAATTCTTTACTTCCGCGGAAGTAAAGAATTTGGAGGTTCTCGCCTAACCTTTAATGAAATTGACTTGGCATCCCCATTTTGTCCTTACATTTCTTTTTATTTACAAAAAACCCACTATATAAAGGCCCATTTTATAACCTCCTCTTTGTTTCCCGTGTTTCTTCGTTTCTTGTTCTCTGAAGCAGCCGACGATGCCCTGTTCTTCCTCCTTCTTGCCCACCTTCTTCCAAAGCAGATCGGACACATAAAAGCCTCTCACCCACTGGCCTTCTTTCTCCCTAACTACTTCCAAGCAGAAAACCCATTTCCCCTGTCTTCCTTTCTTTCTTTGTCTCTGAAGCAGCCGACCTCCCTTCTTGCTCACCTTCATCCAAAGCAAATCGGAAACACCAAAGCATCTTAGTCACCGGCCGTCTTTCTCCCTAACTACTTCAAAGCAGAAAAGCCCATTTCCCCTCACCGGAAAATCCCCACCAAAATTAATTATAAAAATAAAATCATAAAAATATAAAAAAAAAATT